GGCCTATTGTATTGTTACAGGGGCCCAAACGGACAAAGATGGGATCATACTCCTCCAGTGAAGGAAGAGAACTTTTCAGGGGTGATAACAAATCACAAATACAAGGGACCCACAGGATCTTAGATGAGGAAGGAACCGAGAGCTCTGCTTGCTTGAGAGTTCATAGCCTGGCTTCAAGGGACCTGTAACCCCTGGAATTGCAAATATATGTACTTTTTTTTTTTTTTTTAAGGAGAGGTTCTATAGCTTTCCTCAGATGCTCAAAAGGATGCCTGACTTTAAAAACCTTAACAAGATAACTTGTTTTCGCCCCCCTCCCTGCAAGCAGCAGCGGCCTGAGCTTCTGACGCCTGGCTAGGGGGCTGGCAATTGGGCGGATCACCCCACACGCTGTGAGGCAGTTACCCTCCCTGCAGAAAGGAGGTTCGGGGAGGGTGGGGTCACCTCAGCTGCTGGGTGCTCGCCAAGCAAACAGCCTCGCCCTGAGCAGGCTACCTGCAGCCTGGCACCCCTGGTTCCTGAGAGCCTCTTCTCTGAACTTTGGCCAGTGGAAGCTTCAGATAATCATTTGCTTCCACGAATGTTCACTGAGAATCCTCTAGCAGGCCCCGCACGCCTGCACGGGGGACGTTACATCTGATGAACACCTACTGTGCGCTTAAGTTCTGCGAAGGCAGGGGCTACATCGTCTCCGGGCGGGTGTAGGAAACTAGCACAAGGCCGGAAACTAGCACAATACCTGGCACAGGGTAGGTGTTCAACGAATGCTTGATGACCTCAGTAGGATGCCTCTCCCCACCCCTTTTAAAATAATTTTTTATTGAAGGGAGAGAGAGAAAGAGAAACATTGATCGGCTGCCTCCTGCGTGCCCCCACGGGGGAATGGAGCCATCTTCAAATAAAGTTAAAAAGTTATATCTAAGTCAAGTGCAAAAATCAGGCTAACTGGAGCCAGGCCCTGAGAGAGGCCCTGGGAGCCTATTACCAGTTGCAGGTCTGCAGCCTGGGAATATTCTGGGCATAACACTCAGACTTGGCGGTGAAAATGAGTCCCTCGGGTGCCCTTTCCATAAGATGCTCTCAGGTAAAAACACTGACCTGAAACAGCTCAGCCACAGACTCTCCTGCACACTCCCTAATCTTATTTACAAAAACACACCTTTATTCCTAACCACCCACAAACTCGGGGAGTTGACTCCCCAAAAGCAAACTCTACTTTTTTGGACTGCATTAGTTAGCCTTGCAGGTGCAAGGCCTCAAAAAATTGGTTCAAAACTCAGAATTGTTCCTCTCCACGGAAATCTTTAGTAAAAGGCGAAAGATTTATGCGATCTGAAGAGAAACCAGAGTATGCCCTGCGCCCGGCGCCCACATTCCTCGGGTAATTGGTACCCCTAATTCTATAACGGTGATTATTTACCCGAAACAGCCAGTGACTTTTCCCTTCTCCCCAGACAGTGCTGTGAGAGAAGTCTCATTTTGTGGGGAAAATAGTTCAAAGGAGATAGGCGAATCCAGGAATTTCTTTAAGTCGGAAACGGAGCTCGTCTATGTGCAAGGCATTGTGGGTATGCAAATGAGCCTCAGCCGCCACGCCCCCGGTTTCCGGGAACACCTTAAATAGATCCTTCGTTTTGGTGCTGGGACCCGGACCACCACCAGGGGGCAGAGCGGAAGCCGGATTTAAGAAATGTAAACCTGAGCCTCGCCCAACCAGAAAAAAGTCTGACTCCTTTATAATTGGCCCTCTAAGTAATATTTCTTTGGGACTTCAATAAAAAAAAAAACTAATTAAAATTATAAAATAAAACTTGAAGATAATCACCTTCATTTATTCATGAAACAAAAGTGTACCGAGCACTGTTTTAAACCCTGGGCTGGCCTCTAGGGATAGAGCATATTCAAGGAGCAAGCTATGTGATGGGAAAGCCAGGTGTGTGGTCAGCACCGATCACAGAATGTTCGCTGACACCTGGGCAGAGCATTAAATGGTCAGCAGTAGTAGGGTGGCTAGGACATTCTGGTAGGAAGGCACAGTGCCGAAGGGGTGAGTGACCAGGTGGCCTTCAGCACCAAGCTAAGAGCTTGGATTTACCTAGAAGGAAGAGTTTTAAAAGAAAATAGCATGATCAGATTAGTATTTTATTACAGTGCCCCTGGACCAACCAGATCAGCATCTCCTGGGCACCTAGTAGAGATGCAAATTCTTGGGTCCTACCCACTCCAGACCTGCTGAATCTGAAACTGGGAGTGGGATCGTTGGTTTTTTTGTGTTGTTTTTTTTTTAAATGTGGGTAATTTTAGCTACTTTATTTTTTATTTTTATTTTTTAAACTTCACCCTAGGATATTTTTTCCATTAAGTTTTAGAGAGCAATGGGGTGAGGGCGAGGGGGAGGAACATCAATGTGAGACAGACCCATCAATTAGTTGCCTCCCACATGCACATGCCCCCACCAGGGC